AGGGTTAGGGTTACGCTTGCGCTATCTTCTATTGTAATCCATCTTTGATATAACCATGTACACCGGAATCGGGTTGCAGACTGCTCGGGGATCGGGCACCAATGGATACATCCAGGCCAACAAGTTTTTCATCAGGCCGAAAACGAATAAAGTTGTCACCGATTCATCTAAGGGCTTCGAGATCGGCCAGGGAACTGCCGGTGTTACCAGGAAGGCCAACAAGGAGATCCTGGAGCATGACCGCAAGAGGCAGATCGAGCTCAAGCTCCTTGTGTTGGAGGAGAAGTTGACGGATCAGGGTTATACGGATGCCGAGATTGCAGAGAAGCTTGATGAGGTTCGCAACGCTCTTGAGGCAGCAGCCGCTAAAGAGAATGAGGAGGGGGGATCTAATGCTGTTGTTGTCTCAGACAAGTAAGTGTTTATAGTTCTTAAAAAATTATGCGTTTTGTTTATGATTATGTTGCCTTTTCCTTTTTTATGCATTAAATTCGGTGAATCTTTGAGACAAATGGTGGAAATTAACCAAGATTATTGTACCATTGAATTCAACTGTAAAAGCCCAGCCGTCCAGATTATAAAATTCTTGGAAAGGTGAATTTGAATGGCAAACTATTTGATGAAAGCACAAATTTTTATTAACTTTGCTTGGGTGTAAAAACAATGCCCATTGCACTATTAAAGAAATGTTACATTTTTTATTTAAGTAATTTTGTGATTGAGTTAAATATTTCTGACTGCTTATGCTGATATTCACTATCCATCTTCTAAGCAAAGATTGCTGCCATGTCAAAGTCTGGGTTTGGGTACTTTATTATTTTTTACAAATTCACACGCTGTAAATTTAATTGTTCTGTGACCCTTTTCAAAGTGAAACCATAGTAGGGACTGAAAGAGAGACAACCACTGCAACATGGATTGGGTCTTCTGTTCCCTCTTATTTCAATGATTCACCATCTACTGGAGTGAGACTCACATGGAGCGCATGATACCTAAGTGAATTCTGCATTATGATAGCAGTTAGGGTATGGATCCAAGGGACTCATAATAAAAGAAGGGGAGAAAAAGAATAATACAGTATTCTTGCTCTATAACTCTACCTTAATGCATTGATTAACTAAATTCTCAAATGATTATAAACTTCAAATAAATTGACAGGCAATATGCTTTAGGCATGAAAGGTTATTTCACTATATTTTCTGACCATGCTCCATCACAAGAATATTTTTTTATTGGGGCGGTACCTATCAAATTTCCTATCTTTCATATCGGGAGAACGCTTTAGCGAAGGATGTACGAGGGAGTAAAGGAGACACTGGAGTTAGAGTGCAATAAGAGCTAAGATTGAATTATTCAAATCAATATTATTCTTAAACAAATGATTTAGATTTGACGAATCTTTCAAATATCTTTATAAACTTTAGTTCTTATCGTCATATATTTGTAAGTTGATACTTCATTTCAGTTTGGCCTTAGGACAAGATTCCTTTTGACTTAGTTCAATAGTTTTCATTAGTAGAATATAATGGAGTTGGCGACAATCAAGAATAAATTAAGAAAGGATTGAGTCACGTTTGTATTATCAATCTAAGGAGTCTCCGTTTTCGTAAGAGTAACACGATTTCAACATAGTATATTAGAAGAGGGAGGGGTAGACCATAACATGCAACTAAGGGCTCGTTTGGCACGACTTCTATTTCTTGTAGAAGAGCTTCCATAAGAAATTCTTTTTGAACCAGCTTTCTTTAAAAACTCTTCTAACAAGAAGAAACACTTCCAAAATTATAAAATCACGCTCTAAAACTTCTTCTTATTCTCAGAAGCAGCTTTTGGCTTTTGAAAAGCCCTACCTAATTCACTAGAATTGCATGATCTTGGTATTGTATACCGGAGTTGTAAAACATGTGATTTGATTGTACTTTTCGGCATTCAACTCCAAGTTTATTAGGAACAATGGTTTGCTTGTTGCTTTTTTGTTGTAAATGTACAAGTTGATATCCTAGCTAAGTAGTGTATATGAACTGTTGTAGATTATGGGTATCTTGCAAATTGTGTACGGATTCTTGAATATAAATTAATGATTTCAAAGCTAGAAAAACATAATGAAGAATGAGTGACATACATATAATCCCTCAAGGCTGTCACCACAGCTCTTTGTGCCTATGAAATCTAAGTATTTATTACAACAAATATACCTCTTATGGTAGTACTGTTGCAAAAGCAAGTTATTGTTGCTGCACCATATTGTCTATCCTAGTCCTTTCAGGAATAACTTGAAATTAGTCAAACAAACTTTCTACCCCAAAATGTTGCCAGAACTGAACTTACAGATCTATATATGGATTTATATTTTGTATATGTCTAATTGCTTCACTGTGCTTGTAACTAACACAAATCGATTTCTTGCTGAGCGTGGTGCTTTTATAACATTTAAAGTTTTATAAATTGCTGAATTAACTTGAACTAATATTTTGTGTTGCTCGACAGGGTTTCGAAGACACAGACTCATCAGATAGCTGCTTTGAAGGAAAAGCAGATGGAAACTCTAAAAGCTGCTCTTGGGATAGGATCTGAAGCTGAAGGAAAAAAGAACCAGCGTGATGCTCAGTCCCCAAATTCTGAGGAAAGTGATGACGAGGATAAACCAAGGCATGGCTATAAAAAGGACAATGCTGCTGCTAGTAAGCTGAATGAAACAGATTCAGAATTTGAGAAGGGTGTTAAGATTAATGACACTGAAAGATATGAATCTGTACGCCAGAGGAAAGGCAAAAGTAGAAAAAGAGGACATGAGAACTCATCTGATTCTGATAGCAGTGGGAAGTACATGAAGGGGAGTAGGAAAAAACACGAGAAAGGTAGCAAGGGGAAAGATAATGGTGCTGTTGTTGATGCTAAGAAGAGAAAGGAAAAATCATCGAGGAAACACAAGAAAAGTAGAAGATATGATAGTGATTCTTCTGATTCAGAATCTCAGTCCAAGTCTGACTCTGATTCAGATTCAGAATCAGAATCTGATCGTGATAATAACTATAGTAAAGCTCGTAGGAGACATGATTCTGATGACGAGTACCGTTCTGATGAAAGCCCCATACATAAAACACACAGTTCAAAGTTACTTTCTAAAAGCAGGCGACGTGATTCTGGTGATGGATATAGTTCTGATGAGAACCCTAAACAGAAGACTCAGAAGTTGAAGCAGCATTCAAGGAGCAGGCATCATGACTCTGATGAAGAATATAGTTCAGATGAAGGGAATAGACAGAATCAGAAGGCGAAGCAGCAAGCGACAAGCAGGCGGCATTATTCTGATAATGAATATAGTTCTGATGAAGGTCCTAAACATAAATCTCAAAGAGGAAAGCAGACCTCAAAGAGCAGGCAGCTTGGTCATGATGAGGAATTTTATTCTGATGGGGAGGAAGACAAAAGAAATCAACACAAAGGGAGATATCAGCAGAAAAATAACAGCCCAGAAGAATATGATTCTTTTCCCAATGATAAGAAGAGAATTAGTGAGAGGAGAGACAAAGTTATTCGAAGGTACGATCATGAAAGTGACTATGATTCTGAGCTCGCAACCAAAAAGAAAAAGGAGAAATTTGACTATAGTAGAGGGCGAGATGATACTTACATTGATGAAATCAAACCTGGCCATACCAGACAAGAGAGCAAGGCCGAAAGAAGTAGAAGGCATGATTTCCATGCTGACACTGATGACCGTGAGGGTGATGATTTCCTTGAAAACAGAAGGGTGAGAGATCTGAAGCATGCGAAGGTTGAAGGAAGCAAGTCCTATGGGAAGAAAAGTAGTGGTCATGGGGATGATTTTGGTGCCAGGGGTGGACAAGGTGGAGAGAAAGGCCGTGCACTTGAAGTTGATGATATTTGGAAACAAAAGAACCAAGCTGATGGATTGGACACATTAAGGAAACTAGAGAAACATTATAAATCAAAGGGAGATAGGCCAGGAGATGGAAGTGAAGAGATCGTGAGGGGCAAGAGAAAGATAGATGATGAGAACAAGGATGACCAACCTGAAGGGAAGTTAAGAAGGCGGGATCCAGAAAAAGAAGCTGAGCAGAATGGAGCTAAGATTGAATTGGAGAGACATAGTAGATCATATAAGAATAAGGAGGATCACAACAGAGGCTCGAGGCTAGATAAATCAAGTGGACACAGTGTTTATGGTGGTGAACGTGGGGATATTTATAGTAGTAGGAACGAATTGCACCATGGAAATAAGACTGATGATCGGCACCACGCAAGTCATGGATCAAGTAGAAGAGAAAAGAGGGATGAAGATGGCTACCGCAGAAAAAGGCATGAAAGGGATGAAGAGGAAGAGTCACACAGGAAGCGTGAAAACGACCTGGAGCTTCAACGGGGGCCAGGACGAGGAAGAGAGCAAGAAGAGGAGCGAGGAAGTAGAAGGGATGAGAGAGATAGGGAATACACTTCCAAGAGAGCTAGATATGATGATGCGCGTTCCGGTGGAAGAAGAAGATATGACAGTGGAAGTGATGATGATAAGAAGTCAAGACACAGAGAATAAATACAGTTGATGTCTTGCATTTGGCAGAATTGATGGTATGTTCAATTTTTGTAAATTCATTTAAATTTGTGCATGTTTATTGTATTTAATCAAGAACTCTTTTCTTGCTTTCCCCCCTTTTGTACTTTACCTGTAACTATAGTGGAGATATCATATAATACACGCGCTCTTTTTACCCAAGGCATTTTATTTTGATTGAATCTGCTGCTGACTTGCACATAAATGATAATAATTCCCTACAGATCACGTTGGTTATTACTAATTTGGTTATATTCAGACAAATGGAATACATGAAATAATTGCATATCCTATCTTCATTCCTTTGGTTGACATTATTTATATAAAAAAAATTATTTCCGGATGAGTAAAAACTTCGTTCATCGATTTTCTTTTACAGTTTTTAGTGTGGCTTTTCTTGATGAATGCTTTTCATAGCTTTGAATTACCATTACAGCAGCCTGTAACGATATCATGGGATACATAGGTTACTTTCTTACGTGAATGTGAATTGTCAAAAGTCTAGATTTATCTCTCTTTGATAATGGATTATATTTTCAATATTTTGTACTTCATTTGCTAGTTTAGACGTTTAATTAACTGTTGCATTGGAAATTTTACTTCTTGTTAAATTTACGTGAGAGAATAGCTGGCATATATATCAAATTCTGATGTTATAACCTGTTCGTGATTCCAGGGCTGATGACACAATATGTTGGATCATTACTCGTAGACTGTTCAACTTCGGTGTTAACAAAAGAACAGGTTTTAAGAGTTATTTCCCCCTAGCTATTGTGGAATGGTTATTATGTATAATTTGGTTTCAAATGGTCGATGTAATGAATGTTATGATGCAGAGGCTGTTCTGCATTGTCTAGTTTGTTTTCTTCGGCATCTTTCTGTTTACTTGTGAAGGGAATGAAACTGAAGCGAATATATAATGCTAAGCCAGGCATGCAAGCAGGTGCCTTTGACATTGTTGTTATTTACGAGTTATGTAGAATTTTTTATTTATTTTTTTTATCATGGATTAGCATCTTGAAGTCCTTTTATGGGGTGTTAATGATATCCACCCAGAAAAGAAGCCAGCATACCTTCATATCTACCAGATGCCCCTCCTTAGTGCTCGGGAGTTCATTGATCAAAATTACTAGCTCTATGTTGAAAGTTATCCTAGATTATCCAGTGTTTTTAGCGAACAGTATCTTATGTAGAAGTGGGTGGATTATGGTCAATTGGTACATCTTGGTAGGCTCTATCGTGTTGTTTTGTTTCAACATGACATTGTTTGGCATGATTCTGTTATATAACTTAATAGAGGAGCCTTGCAATATTGCTAAAAATTCAGAAAAGTTGTGGATCATTCAAAACTGCTTTCCTTCAGGGATTTTTCTTCATATCTTCTGAATCACCCCAACAATGCTTGGTGTACAATCATTAGGAGGCTGTAATTTTTACAACCTCTAGCGGGCTCCACCCTAATGTGAGAGGTGGTAAAAATTACAACCTCAATGATTGCAAATGGATTTTTCCCTTGTCAAAATAATTGCATCCTGGCCTTGTACAATCTGTTTAATCCAAGCTTCAATTTCACCATCCCAAGTATTGATTTTTATAGAATCACCTTCACTGAAGTTTACGATATTCGGAAATACTTGCTTCACAATTCTGTCTGCCAGACTATGGAATAAGATGACAGCAAGCCTTACTCGGGAAGCAAGGGAATCGAAACTGATATGAATGGAATCTTTAAGAGTGTTGAGTTCATCATTGACAAGAATGACCAAAATATGACACCGACTGATCCGAAGCATTCTGCCATTTCATAAAGACTACATACCATCAATTAGGAAAAGAAATGAAAGATGATAGAGCCACCTCTTGTCCAAGAAATTGAGTTCCGAATGAGGTCAACTAGTTCTCTAGTAGAATGCAGTCCACCAGTTAAACAAGCCTTAAAACAACCACCGTGCTACTTGTACAGGGGGGAGGGGGAGGGGAAGGGTTTGTTGACAATCTCTCACACATGGGGTGGGTGAGTGGGTAATTTTTTCTTTTTTTAAATCACAGTGGAGCCCACCACCTGTGAGTGGTTGTCAATCACTTCGGTCAACCACTTCGGTACAACCAGCTTTATCCTTAAAACAATTTTGTTTTGAAGAGAATGCCAATTACTTTCTTCTCCCTAATCACGTAAAATCCCCAGGAATAAAATGTCTTCTGCTTTCAGACTTGACTGCCATAGATCCTCCAGTTAGGTGAATGGAAGAAATAATTAAATATTTTGTTTTAAGGAGGGGCAAAAAAATCTCCCTCTCAATAATCCAGTGAAGCAATTAATCAAAATAATATGACATGATCAGCAATTTAAACACATATTTTAAGAGAATTGTGAGATATAAATGTTGTAGACAAATAATTACATTTACACAGATGTGGGATGTCAATCTAATTCTTGGTTACCCATCACGGAACCAACAGCTCGACTAACATGAAATTTCCATTATAAGGTTGTAGGATCTAAAACATCTACGAAATTGCTTGTTCTTTCTCCACTCTCTCAAATTGGTTTTCCATATCTCGAATGTACCCCTTTTTTCTCTATGTGCATTATCTCTGCCAATATAAAGGCTACTTCAGGTGAACATTTTATTCGAGTTTTGCACAATAATGTCCTTAAAGCGTATTACTTACTGGAAAACATTAAGAGTAAAGAAAGTCATTCATGACATATGGCCTTAGTAGTGTGCAGATGCAGTTACCTGAGGATTTCATTGAGCACACTAAATCCTCTTTCAGAATTATTTACCTGCAATCCACCTTCAATGTCATAAATACACTCTTTAAGGAGATATATGAAGGAGAAATGTTCAGATGTTTCTTCTACATGATATTTGTGGAAAGGAACACCATCATGCAGTGACAGCTAGCAAAATGCATGGAATTTCATTTGTAACAACCCTTTCTTGGACGGCATAAGACTCTCGTAGAAAACTGAGGCAATGAAGCTTGTGGTAAATGGCTACATTTCACTATTCTCAAACTATCCAACCACCTGAACATAAATGTATATCGAAGTATAGGAGCATGAGCTATTAATGTCAAGAAATACAAAACCAATCGATGATGTTTTGAAAGCAATAGCATAATGTTCCACAGCAAACCTGCATGGATGACATTTCCTTAGTCCATTAAAAATCCCATGAACTCCAACTGCTGAAACTTCCCCATCAATCTCTGGTCCTCCTCCTTCCCCCTTCTACTTCTTCTCTCTCCTTTTATTTTGACGGCATCTACTTGTGGGTGGTTCATGGAGTCAGCGCCGCGGGAAGAGGCTGAACCGCCAGACCAACATTCTCAATCCTCCTCCTCGTCTTCATCTTTGGCACTTTCATCGGAAGGATCAGCATCGAATAATAATGTGCACGAAACCAGGTCCTTCCCGATTTCAAGAAATTCAATTCCAGGTCTTACGAGGAATCACAGAATGTCTGCTGCAAATTCCCTTTTTTTTTTCCTTCTAAATCAGCAAATTCAATCAATTCAGGTCATTTTCTCAAATTTCATCTTTAATTTTGATGTTTAGAAGTTTGAATTAATTGGACGTGAGTTTGAGCTGGAGGAGCTGGATCAACTGGAAACTCTTGGTAGATCCTCTAATATATTCGAAGAGTGTGTATAGCATAAGATTTTAGCGGAGGGTTTTGTATGCTGATTTGGGATTTATTGATTTTCGTTACGATTTGCTTGAAAAAAACCAATTATTATGCATCATTTCATAGGGAAACTAACCAAATCTGTCATGCAAATTGCAAGAAATTAGTGATAGCCATTGGCTAAAATTGAATCGATAAGCATATTTCATAGAGAAAATGAAAAGCATGTGATGTAATTTTAGTCACTGATTATGCTCTTTGTTATACATACTAATAGGCTGATCTCTGGCGGAGCCTGTTCCAGACGCCCTGCTTCCGATGTAAGAATTCTTCTCGACTGCTTTTTTTCAGTTTCGTGTCGTAGAAACTATTGAGTAGGATGAATATTAAGTAAAATGTGATTAACGGAGTTAAATTTCTGCAGGACCAGAGGTCCAGCCGATGTTAGCTAGGAACGCTGGTTTCAAGGCGCCCACAGCTCGGAAAGCCACCATAGACGGTGGATCTGAGATTAGATGTCATCAGATTCTGTGCGAGACTGAAATAAGGCTTTTGGGTTCATTTATCACGTTTACAACTAGAAACCTTGTATGGAAAAAGCAAAGAAACCACGAAAATTTGTTACTTCCCATGTTTACAACTTTGTAGCGAGTCAATGCCCAGTAAAAAACCTATATCAAATCTTATAATGTGAACCCTAAAAGCATGAGCCGTTCATCTACTAGTTGGAAATATGACAAAATTTCACCCGGTAAGCTCACTCTGAGAACGAGTCTGTGTTTGAAGGTAAGAAACACGACCCCTCAAGTAATATGTTTCATAGATGTCTAGTGCCGCTTCTTACCACCATTCTTTCTCTTACCGTGGCTCTTTTTACCGCCCTTCTTTTTCTTCCCTTTGCCAATAACATGTCTGCTGCTTTCATTGGTGGCTCTAGGTGCAGAAGGTTTCAATAAACTTTTGACGTCAAGGACACCATTTCTGAAATGACCTTCAGTGGACTTCAGCACTGTGTCTTCCTGTCGGCGCCTCTCGGTCACCTTTTTAGTACCACTAGTATGATGATACACTCCAAATCTTCCAAGTATTGCATTCTAAAAGAGCGGTTAGACAAAATGTCAAGACTCAAAAATGCAGCGTCGGCGACATAGACATACATTAGATAATAGCAATTAGATGAGAAAGTGGAGTATGGTAGTAACCTCTTGGAGCATTTTCTGCTCTCTTTCCTTTTGTTTCTTCATTTGCACTCGCGCTACACTAAGAGGTAATTTCTGTGTTTTTTGAGGCTGTTCAAGGGGGGAAAAGGGTTAATGCATAAAGCAATGGAGATCTTACTGATGTCGAAGTAAAAAGGCAGTATTCACCTTTCCACCAAGAGAAACGACCTTCCGGTTTTCCAACTCTTTCCTCTGTTTCCATGTCATATGCGATGACCCTAAAGCAGTACAAAAGTTAAACATACACTTTCGGCATGTTTGTAAGGTGGATTGGACAATAGCAGACAGTAGTAATAAGGAAAAAGAAGCCAAAATCTTGATAATAGTAGTGTCTAGTCATATCCAACTATATATAAACATTATCCACAAGCATAGAACTCTCAGGAGTTAAAAGGAGATGGTGAAGTCAGCAACGCAAAATTGAAGTACCATGAAATGCAAAGCGCTTCCCCCACAATTCACTATGTTCAAATTCACCAAATCACTAGGTTTACATTTTGGAAGATTCGGATCTCAAAGACATTAATAGACACACAGCTAACATATCATAAAATATTCAAATAGTATTAACACAATGGAGCAAGAGACCATACCTAAGTACACCCCCCACCCCTCACAGTGTAAAATAATAATCATTAGAACAATTCCTTACCAGGCACATATTTAATAATAGTAGTACAACATAAAATTTAGAAATTGTTACAGATACAAGATGCTACTTCAGTTCAAAAGTGTTTATCATGAAAACCAAAAAGTAGACCACCCGTAACATACCATAAAGTGTACATATCCTTAGGGGGCGACCAAAAATTAGAAATTTGATTTGATCAAATATGTGAAAAACATTTCTTTTACATGTTGAATCCTCAGCCAATATTCAAATTATAAAGAAGATATTGACAACTAGTTTTAAGCCCAAATATGTCGTTATTGGCTTCAATCCTAATATAAACACAGTAATGTCATATCACTGAACGAAGTACATAATAACAAGCAAACAAGAAGAATTTTTACTCTTTCGTCCTGCCTGATTTGGAAGGAAAGAACAAGAACATGCACAAGCAATAACATCATCACCATTAGTTAGAATCAGCAATAGATTATGTATTCAATTTGCTAAAGAATCACAAAACTAAGTAACGTAAAATGACAGTCAAGAGAAATGCAGTACCTAAAAACTCTATATCTTTCATTATGGACTTAATATCCATTTTGGGGGCATTCGGATCCATTTGACTGGATGAGGATCCTCTCTTGGCTTCTTGACTTCTCTTAGGCATCCCTGTCATGTGCTGTTCTTTAATCTGGAAAAAAAAAGACATGGAAGTAAGTTTTTAAGGCTAAATTGGATATAGGGTGTTCCGTTTTCTGTTACGTAAAACATTGACACGGAACAGTAAAATTAATTAAAAAAGTGCAGAAAATTAGCTGTAAACATATTGAAAATCTATAATGAAACAATTTAATGAGTAAAAGTCTAAAGCAAACAAACAAAAAATAGAACAACGAATTAGCAAATAATAATCAAATATCAAGAATTCACAATTGAAACTAGAAAATAACTAATATAAAACATAATGAATAATGACAAATAACTAACTCTAAAATCCTATAAATAGGATTTGAAACAGAGACTAGGAGTAATCAAATTCAGAATCCTCCCCATTTGTGGAGACAATTCAAATTTGCCTACATGATAAATATGCTTCTTTGTACTTGCCCAAATCCCCTGCTTGCAAGGATCGGCCTATTTCCTTATCTAATAAGCGATAACCACATTTCCCAATCCTATCATTGATTTTGTTTTATAGTTTTGTAGACAATAACGATTACTTTAAAGATTAAATTTTTTACAATTGTTTCTAAGGCTTTTCATACTTTGAAAACATTGAGGGCCCGTTTGATTGCAAAAGTGGAAAATTGGTGGAAAGAAAACATTTTACAGGGAATTAATTTGCCTAGAAATTGTTTTACTGGGAATTGTAATTAATTGTATTTGATTGGTAGAATTTTTCATGGAAAATGTTGAAAATTTGATGTCCGTTTGGTTTCGTTTTTTATGAAAATTGTCTATTAAAGTGATAATGTTTTATACTTTGGGTCTAGAATTTGTTCCAATTGCAAAAAAAGAACAAAAAATAACCATACCGAATATCATTCGTTTGGCTTTATTTTACATGGAAATTGTCAATAAAAGTGAAATTTTTTTTTTACCATTGTATCTAAAAAATTTTCCAATTGCAAAAAAAAAAAAAAAAA